AGGGGTGGCACTTAGCTTTGCCAACTCCCTGTCTGGTGGCATACGTGCCGCCAAGCGTGGTTGTTGCATGGTGTCCCTTTCACTGGCTCGCCCTCTAGGGACCAGCCGCTGCAGTGCAAGCACCCTCTGCGCCTCATGTTGGCGACCGCGCTCCTCTAACACATCCCTTAAGTCTTTCGAACGGTTGGAGTGAGAATACCTCGACGCCGTCGTTGGCACGTGAGGGGTGGTAACTGCTGTCCTGCGTACGATATATCGTCGCCGGTGCTACGTAGTCTCCAATTCTGAAGCTTCTCGTGACGGAGAGTGAAGGGGTGCGATGTCTATTAAGACTGCTAGAACGGCGGGAATGGGCATGCTCACTGTGGTTTCCCACTCCAGCGACGCCCTTTTCCTTTGTTTGGCGTCTCATGGCCTCCATCTCTGTCGCCATTTTCTTGATGATGGTATCTTGGTCTCTCAGCTTGTCTTCCAAGTGTTAAGTGTGTGAATCTCGTCGTCGGCGACACTCTTTTGAAATGACAGAGCACCTAAAACTCCTTGTGCGCTTGTCTTGCGCATCCCTAGGAAGTCCTTGTGCGGAGGTCTCCAAATCAGCCATCGTCGGAATGGCGGACAGGCTATCTCTGCGCCGAATGAACTCTAGCATGATGCCATCGATGGTGAACAATGGAATGTCGTCGTGGTTCACCATAATAGGTGACCGGAGAAGCTTAGAGGACAAGGTTTTGTCTGTCGACTTCCCACAGACGGCGCTAATTGTACGGGAAACAAATATTCCGCGGAGCCTGTACTCCTTTCGTCCAAATTCCTTGTCTATCCGATCGACCTGCGAGCACAACGACGGTGAGCTACTCGGCGGTGTGTGGCCAAAAAATCCCTCTGACGGTCAAGTTAGCGTACACACACACACACACACAGAGGAAGAGAGATAAATCAAAATGAGTGTTTTACCAAATGATGTTCCATCAATATGATGGGGAACGCAATCATGCTTATATACTTTCTACGTTCACCTCTGCAGCCATTCGTTTATTGACACGTGGAGCTGCTCTCCCATCTATCAGCGCAAATTCAGCTAAACACCACTTAATCAAACTGCCACTCGACATTGGCGGAATGGGCAGCCCGGAGGAATTATCCCGGCCTCCTTTGACCGAGCTACTTAACGAGTCCAACAGTGCCACTCGCCGAGCTCCATCACAACCGAGCTCAGTAGCATTCCAATACGGCCAAGCTCCAGACAGGTCAGGCCGATCCGTGAGAGACCTTTCCGTTGAGCTACATACGCGAACAATATGCCTAGGTTGACAGACGATCATCTCGGCCGAATGGGCCCTGGACCTCAACCGAGCAAACCACTCTGGATCAGCCAACATTAGCTTGGCCCAAACACGCTTGGACCTCTTTTTAGCCCAATCATTACCACGGCCCAAAACTAGATTATGAAATCTCCCTTACAGTAATCATTAAATACATAAATTGTCAAATTGCATTTGCTCATCAATCTCAACGAGTTCATCAGTTGCCGCATGGATAGCGCGCCTTTTCTGATAGCAACGAGAGAGGTCTCCAAGAGTTCAAGAATGCTCTCAAGATGTATGATCAGGATAAGAATGGACTCATTTTTACTGCTGAGCTCCTTTTATCTTGTGGCAATCTCAATATCAATCGATTTCTCTCTACCACACTAGTTTCGAAGAGTTTATTGAATTCTATAAGGGCGGCGATAACAAAGGTCTCTGAAAGCTAATGAGTTCAGAAACTAACTAAAAATTATTTCTTAGAAATGTGGTGTCCTCAAATATTTTTTTTCCCCGGAAATTACTCTTCACTTCAAACAAACTTTACTAAACAAAATTTTCATATTAAATTTTATTTTTCTGTTTTGCAGATAAAAAAAAAATATATTTATTTATTCATTAAAATGGTATTAAATAATTATTTGTACCCAACAAATTGAGCTTTTAATCTTTTCCTGAAGATTCCACTAGTACAAGTTAAATTATTTCGGCAAAAAAAAAAAGTTAAATTATTTCGGCAAAAAAAAAAGTTAAATTATTTCTTTCCCTTAAGATTTCACTAATAAAGCAGGCCAAGTGATACGTGAATTCAATATAATTATATCAAAATTATAGAACTCATTATATTTTTTTCAAATTTTAAAAAAAGTCAATTTAATTTATCTTAATAATTTGATTATAATTCAACCCCACATGACGCTTATTTTGGAAAGTGGATTAAAATTCATTTCACAGCTTTTAACCTATTTTTCTCTTTCACAAAAAAGTTAAAAAATAATTTTTAATTATTTTTCTAAAACACCTCAAAGTGTGACAACTGTTTAGTACTATTAAAAGTAGTCTTCATCAAATTTAAGTAAAAAAAAAGGTCTTGTCAATGTGACATGTTAAGAAAGTTTTATTTGTATATATATATATTTATTGTACATGCTTTCATCTAAAATGTATAATATTTTTAAACTCTTAAACAAAATTCATAAAAAAAAAAAAGAAAGAATTAATTTGGGGGTGATCAATACATTATATAAAATTCGTATTTATTCAGATAATCAGTTATTTATCACTCCACTTAACATAGGAATATTATTATACAAACAATAGATCGATTCGTTTGAGTTGTTAAAACACATGCTATATCAATCTGGACTAATGTGTAAATAATTGTAACCGTTGACTTGCACTTATTTATAATTAAAACTTTAATCTACACTAATTTCTATGTTCTTTACATATATATTTATATATTAATAAAACTTCGTGCAACAGTTTGATTTTGAATACTAATAAATAAACTGAATTTTGTTGTGACACTGTTTATGTTAGGGATAGTCACAAGTTGAGTTTGGACACCGGTTTATGATAATCTATTTCCGTTCCGCATCATATCGGGGAGAGGACAAATCGCGGAGTGGTGACAAGTGTGGAGGCGGAGAATATATTAAGAATATATTAATTTTATAAGTTGAAAAAAAAAATATTAATAAAAATTATAGATAATATTGTATATTACGGATAATAATTTATACTTTATGAAAATTATAAGTTATAAGATAAAAAATAAATGAGAAAAAATTAATATTAAGTATAATATTTTCATATTTTTATTTATTATAATAAAAAAATAAATTATATATTATATACATATAAATATATTAAACAATACAATTGAGACCGGATTCGAGTAAAACGAGAGGAAGTAAAATCTATCCTCACCCCATTTCTTACTCGAGATGGAAAAAATTTGTGCAGGACAGAGCGGGACAAAATGACCATCTCTACTTGTGATAAATACTAACATAGATAAATTGCTATTTTTAGTTAACTTTTTATATATACCCAATAAAATTTATTTTTAATGTTTAAAATATTTCATAATACAATTTTCAATGAATATTAAAAAGACTAATATTAAAGTGCATTTATAAATAAATCAATAGAGTGCAAATAAAATTTTTCATAGAATAGCTAGTTTCATGAAACAATGCCTTCGTTTGAGATATGGGACGATTTTTTAGCTTTTTGACTACTTTAGTTTAAGGTTAAAAAGTCTCATTTGAGATAATTTTTTGACTTTTGTAAAAAAAAAATAAAATAATTATGATTTGAATGTAACAGTTTGTCTTATTAATTTTTTTTAGTTTTTTTTAATATTTTTTTGTAATTAAAATAGCAAAAAAAATTTATGCCAGCAAAAACCGTATATAGAAAATGCATAATATGATTTGGCGTAATCATAGACATATAAAGAGTTATTAAAATGATTTTTAATATCAAAATTAGCACTCATATATTTGATGAATAATTATGAATAGAAATTCTAAAAGTATAACAATTTTCATTCGAAAATTAACATGTCAGCAAAACTGCCTAGATATTGAAAGGTGGACACAGAATCCGGATCCTCCCTTTGGGTTTCTTTCTTATCTTCTTACTTGTTGGCTTATTGAATTCACTTTTAGGTTTAATTTTAATAATTTGAACCGTCATATTTTAAAATTTGTTGATTATATTATATTTGTAAAAACTAAAATTGATCGGATATCAGAAAGTATATGTTTGGAAAATTATTTATTAAATTTTTTTAAAAATGGTCTTTAGTTCGATGTCCGAACATATATTTTTTGATATCCGATCAACTTAATTTTTTATAGGTAGAATATAATTAATAAATTTTAAAATATTAACAATTTAAATTATCAAAATTAGACCTAAAAATAGGTCCAAAAATCTAATAAATGGGAAGTTAAAAGAAAAAACTCAAGAGAGAACCTGACTTGGTGGACAATAACGTATGATCCAACTGAATCATTACTTTATAGTAAACCTCACCATCTACTTTAGACTCCGTTTGAAAAGTGAGTTCGATTTTTAATTTTTTGATTTTTTTAATTATTTTAATTTAAACTAAAAATTTTAGTTTGAGAATAATTTTTTGATTTTTTTTTTGTGAGAAAAGAGTGTAATGATTAAAAAAAAAATTTAACAAGACGTCACTTGTGAAGTTTATTCTCATATTATTTTTTTAAATAATTAAAAAAATTTCTATTAACCAATTTTTACTGAATCATTTTAAAAAATAATAATTAATCTATTTAAAAGGATCCATACTGCAATTACGGCAGAGACGAAACTCAAACGTTCATGTTCTTTGGATACTAAGAAATATATTTAGGCCTTGTTTGATATATATCATGTTATTTTAATAATTTTTTGATTAAAATATGAGGTAAAAAAATTTAGTATATTTAAAATGATTTTTTTGATTTTTTATAAAATGATGTACAGAAAGTAAAAAGAAATTTTTTTTTTGATTTTTTAATTTATATAATGGAGTTTTTTATTTTTTCAATAATTTTTTACTTTTAACATAAACTAAACACATGCCAAACAAGACCTTAATGCCTTAAAAAATTATAAAGACTTAACCCAAAATTTAAATAAAGAACCCAAAAACCTTACCCCAACCAACCATGTTGGTATAGTTGAAAAAATTTTGTTGGGTAGCTTTACTTGCTCTATAAAATACTTTCTCATCTATACCGGAGGAGGAGTAATTTAAGGGTGTCCTAAAGGTGTGTCCACCCCATTCTCTCTCCCAATCCTCGCCGCCACCGCTACCACCACCACCACCATCACCATCATGTCGGAAAAGGAGTGCAGCCTCCACAAGCACAAAAAACACAAACTCCTCCGCCGCATATTCGCCGGAATCCTAATCACCCTCTTCATAATCCTCATAATCGTCCTGATAATCTGGGCCATACTCCAACCCAAAAAACCCCAATTCAGCCTCCAAGACGCCACTGTCTACTCGTTCAACATCACCGCCCCAAACTTCCTCACCTCCGCAATCCAAATTACAATCTCCTCCCGCAACCCCAACGATCAAATCGGCGTCTACTACGACAAACTTGACGTCTACGCCACGTACCAGAACCAGCAAATCACATACTACACCTCCATTCCTCCGACCTATCAGGGCCACATGAGCGTCAACGTCTGGTCCCCCTTCGTCTCCGGCACCACCGTCCCCGTGGCTCCGTACAACGGCGTCGCTCTCAGCCAGGACGAGGCCGATGGAACAGTCAATCTCTTGTTCAAAATCGACGGTCGAGTTCGATTCAAAGTCGGAACGTTCATCTCCGCTCAGTATCCTCTCTTCGTTAAATGTCCCGCGGTCATCACGTTTGGGAGCCGGAGCACCGGCGTCGTCGTCGGTGACGCCGTTAAGTACCAGATGTTTCAGAGTTGCAGTGTTACTGTGTGATGGAATGGGACTCAGTTAACGCCGTTAATGTATTGCTACTCTCTCTCTATGGATATAAATTAATGTCGTTACAATTTTTATTTACTTTTCCTTTCTTTTTTTTTTTAATTTTATTGAATTGTAAATTTTGCTGATGGATACGAAGAGGAGAACACAAAATAGCAAAATTACAATAATATTGGGAGAAAATTTAAGTTATAAATGATGATGATGATGATGATGGTCCTAATTAGTTATTACAAGTCATTAATAAATATTGTAAATTACAAATACAATTCTTAAGGTTTACTTAATATACGAATTGTGTTCTATGGTTTAAAAATTATATTTTATCTTTTGAAATTTTTAATTTCATAACAAATAACACATTTTATTAATAAATTATTAAATCAATTAACAATTTTTAACGATATCATAAGTTTTTTCAATTAATAATTCAAATAATTTTATTATTGTATAGGAGAATAATTATAAATTTTATTTTTTAATTAATTCTATTAAATAAAAAATTTTAACAAAGAAATATTTGTAGTTCTTTATATTATAAAGAATGATATGTATTTTAAATAAATCTCAAAATATATTTTTAATTTATTCTTATAAATAGAACAACAATTGTATTTTTTGGAATATAAAAAGTCAAGAAGGGGTGTGTAGCGGTGGTTGTGGTGTCACTTCCTCTCTCATTTTTCTAATGTGAAAATTCGACTATTTACTTATTGTTTACTCTTTTCTCTTCTTTTTAAAATTTTATTATTATACGCTTTTGCTAATTAAAAAAAAAATCTATATATTTGGTTTACTCTATTGGGTTTAATGTAGGTCTAGTGAAGGCCATACCCTATAAAGAGTATTAATTATTATGAAAATGGTAAACGCTATCAACACATAATAACAATTATAGGGTATAGACTCACAAATAATTCGGTCAGATTCAATCCTTATAAATGTTTTGCCACTTTTTATTTTGTGTCACATTTTTTTTTGTCGGTAACATACTTCTATTTAGAGTTGATACTATTAAAAGAGAAATGAGGTCATTTGAGTTGTTTATATGGAAATGGAGTCCAAGTTGGACATTAACATTGTAGGCAAGAGGGTCTAAAAACTAATCTTTAGAGTCACCCAAGACCGCATAGAAGATATTACAAAACTAATAACCTTTTAGTATAATGTTGTTGATGATGGACTGTTGGCTTGTGTCCACTTAGTAGAGAGCATAGATTAAGACAAAGCCCTCCAATAGAGATTAGACGGATGGTCTATGTACTGTCATTTTAGTTTATGTTATTTTTGTTTTATTTAAAAAGACAAAGAATCAAAACCTGTCATTAATATAAAGTTTACATTGATGCATTAATCAATCTTATCGGAAGAACTTTAATCATTTGATTTGTTGAGCGTTGTTTGGAATCTTTTAACAGCATTCTGACCAAGAGTGATGGCCAGTGCCGGAGTCAGATTTTAGTTTAGAATGAGTACTATTGAAAGTTGAAATTTCAACTAAAAATTGTAATCTAATTTAATCTAATTTTTTATTTTTTATTTGATAGTAGAATTAAAAACTAGTATGATTCAAAAGTTATATTTAAGAAAAATGATATATAAACTTACTTTTTAAATTTATTTTATAAGCTCAAGTTAACCGATCATTATCTTTATTGTTATTAATTTAATTTTATGTATGATGATTGTCACGATTTAAAAAATAATCACATGCCCTCATAAAATATGAGAACAAATTTTCATTGAGATGCACACACAAAAAAAAAAGGTGAATACATAATATATAGTGGTTTCTATATATCATTTGTTTTTTTTTTCATAGTTATGAATAACTAAATTGCATGATAATATTTTATTAGTTGTCATTAATTGTATAATAATTATTTGTAAACAAATGAATCAATTATGAGTTCATATAAGAGGTGGTATAAAATAATGTCTAAAAATTTGTGACATATAATATTTCTCTAATACAAAATTTATAAGAACTTTTTTAGTATAATTAAACATTTAAAATGACAAATTAAACATATTTTTCTTAAAAAAATGAAGAGAAAATAGTGATATAACATTTTTAAAAAATTGCTTGAAATGATTGAAATAAAATATATTTTTTGTTAGAGGCAAAAGTATAATTTTGGAAAAGTTAAGGGGGGTGTGTGTGACCCTCCTGAGCCTCACGCGCCTCCGCCTCTGGTGATGCCCCCCTCAAGATTTTATAAAATTATATTTTAAATTAAGGTTGTAAAATTATTTTCAATCTTTTCATTATGTGTATTTAATTAATATATATTTTCTTTTCATTTTAAAGAGTTGTATAAATTTAAATGGTATAATGCTGAAGTAGCTTTGGAATATTGATAATTCATTTTGTTATTATTATTTGTTTTCAAATTAAACGTTATGTTCCTAACCAAGCAGAGTCAATAATTTATCTTAATAATTCCTTTCGTAGACTAAAATCATGATTCCCATGAAATTGATTTTTTTTTAACAAAACCAAATAGTTATTAGTTTTTGTTTTTTTAAAAAGTTATAAAACAGTAATATTAAAATAAAAATAAATAATATACCGATTAAGAAAAAAATAACTTTAAAGGGCCAAACAAACAACCTAATAAGAATTACAAATAACAAAATACAAAGTCACAAAAACACAGTTATGATCCAATGAAAAATCATTGATCTTGCCATTTCGTTGACGTCATCCCGATCAATGCTGCCCAACTCTGCTACTGTCATATTTTGGTTACTATAAAAAATTAGAATTGGAGAGAAAGAACACCCACAACAGTATATAGAGGAGCATTAAGAGAAGAGAGAATTATTATGAGTGTCAAAAATTTAAAAATTTATGTCGAAATCGAGAAAGAAACTCCCAAATCTCTCTTCCTAAGCCTAAAAAATCTAAATCTACACTTTCAAAATATTTTAAAAGCTCACTAGAAATACATCAAAAAATTACCAGAAAAATGTTGAAAATCACCTTAAAATAAAGAATAATTATTCAGTAATTCTAGAGTATGAACACGTGGTATTTCATATTATTATGATTGATAGAGAATGTGAGTAAGTAAAGTATTGTGTTAGATGATTAAAAAATATGAAGAGACATATTAAATAATAATTAATAAACACAAGATACTCCGAAAATATTTAATAATTTTTCAAAAAAAAATAGAGGCACTCCAACGCCGCACAAGGTTCATTAGCTATTAGTTTTTGTTGATAGTAATCTCTACCATAAAACACATCAAATCAAATCGTAGCCTTACAATTTCATCAAATGGTAATTTCGTAGCAAAGGGGTTGTGTTGACATTGACAGTAGCTAAGCCTCACCGACGTTGCTTTCCAACCATTACGTCAGTCCAATGACAACATGTTTTTTTTTTAACAACAATGATTCATCTTCCTTTTCCTCCCACCCCCTTTGACCCCCTCTCTCTCTCATTGGTTACATTTTTTTTTTCTTTTTCTTTTTTTTCTTACTCCTCCAATCACCACTCGTCACGTGACAAAGGGGGTGAAGGGGTGACCCCCAAAAGGGAGTCCCAAGCATTATTCATTTTTTAATTACATAATCAGAGATTGGAGGATGAAAAAACGAGGCCTGCAATATATCATAATTTTATTTTCTTTACTTTTTTATATTATTAGAATATATGATAATATATTATTTTTAACTTTATTAATTTTTTAATATTTATTTTTTAGATAAAAGAACTAATCATGAGTGTTCATATAGAAGTTGATATAAAATAATGATAAAAAATAAATAATATATAGCATTTCTGATGAAAAAATAATAGGTATATAAAAATTATGTAAGGCATTTTCATATTAATTGGAATATTGTTCACTCTTGGTTTGAGGTTGTAAAATCCTCTATTAAAAAGAAAAATTAATGAAATATCTCTCTTTAATTTTTGATAGTAAGAAAGATTCAATATATATCTTTTTATTAGTTAAGACCTTCAATAATATTATTAGAGAAATTTCTCTGTAAATTTCTTTATGTCAAAAATTTTCTATGAAAATGTTGAGATCCAATTATTATGAAAATATTGTAAGTCATTTATCTTATGAAATCTTAATATCAAGAATTTAAAACTAAAAATCCTCTATAAAAAGGGTATAGATTAATTTGTTTAATTTAAATATGAAAAAAAAAACAGAATTATTATAAAAATTGGCTATGAGTAATTCAGTGTAGCTCTTTAAATTTTAATAGGAAATCTTTAATCAATTAGACGAACCATGTGAAAATATTTTCAATATTTTTGGTTTTTATTTTTATTTTTTTTTATTTCACTTAATTCACAAAGGAAAATCATATATAAGTCCATTTTCTAAACCCATTTATATGTAAGTGAGATTATTGATTGATAATTAAAGAAGACATGAGAGACAAAGAGTTACTTTAGATATTCCAATAGACTATAACACCGTTAGGTTTGAAAATTTGCTCTAATTTTTTTGGTCTAAGTAGCATTACCCATTCATAATAGTTTTTAGGGGAACTTACATATAGATTTTAATAGGTGGACTTATTATTCAATAGGTCACATGATAATTAATGGTATTTTTCATTAAACACTTTTAAAAAAAAAGTCACTAATTGTTAATTTTCAATGACAATTTAAAAAATTTGTCATAAAAAACATTACTAATTATAAGTTTTAGCAACAGTTTAAAAAAAGGAAAAAAAAATAGTGAAACATTCTTCTCCAACTTTGTGTAGTAGTAGAGGTCCAATTTTTTTATTTTATTTTATTAGTTGAGGTCCCTCGACGAAATTTCTCTGTGAAAAAAAGAAATTTTTTTGTGAAAATTGAAATTTTTTTGTATCGAGACCGAAATTGCTCTGAGTTGAGCAAAATTTCTCTAAGTCAAATTTTCTTTGTGAAAATGTTGAGGGACCTTAATTATATGTAAATATTGTATATCATTTATCTTATAAAATCTTAATATCAGGGATTTTAAAAAAAAAATCCCTTAAAAAAACGTTATAAAAAAAGTCATTAATTTTTAACTTTTAGTGATAATTTGAAGATTTTGTCATAGAAAAACGTCATGAATTGTAAGTTTTAGTAACAATTTATAAAAATCATAATAAAATAAGTTTACTAATTGTTAATTTTTAGCAACATCTACAAAAAAATTATCACAAAAAATTATTTTTAGTGACGATTTTAATAGAATTGACTTTAAT